ATACACATACAAGCAAACAAAAAAAAGACGAAAAAACAAAAAAGCGTTTTTATTTTTTGTTTTTTAAAATTTAACTAAAAATTAAAATTAGCCATTTTCGTTATTTTAATTAAATCTATTTATGCTAGAGTAGTAGTTGAAAAAAGAAAATTGAAAATACGAATGAATTGATAATTTTGTGTCGGATTAAATTTAATTACTTATTTTTGACCAAAAAAAATTCCTCATTACTCTAAGGATTATAAATAGTTTGTATAATCGGATTTTGAAAAAAGAAAAAAGGAAGGATTATGAAAATAGGGCAGTGAAATCTGTGCAATTGCAAATCATTGATAATTAAAATTTAATCAAATTAATGCTAAAAATTAAAATTAGATTAAGAATTTAAAAAAGAAATGAAATGAAATCGAATGTAATTTTCATCGGAATTAAATTATTTGATAAAAATTTTTTTGACTTATTTTAAATTTTACAAGCAGAACGAAATTTTGCATGCCAGTTGCATGTGTAAACCATTAAATGTGTAGCGTTAAAATTAACAAAGTGATAAATGGATGGGAAAATTTTGGTGTAATTGTTTAGGTGGTATTAGAGATTGATAAAATTTACGAAATAAGCTATGCTTAAATGAATGAAAGAGAGACAAAGATTTATGAAAGATTATTGTGAATTGTGAGAGAAAATGATGGTATAAGATTGAGAAAAAATAATTGAATAATGATATGTTTTAGTAATTATGCATGTTTTATCATTTATGTGAAATCAAAAAATTAGAAAAGAAATCAGTTATTGGATTAAAATTAATTGAATTTATGAATTTTATGCAATTAATATTTTATCTAATTATTTAATTGATTTGTTTGCCAAAAAAAAAAACCGATTCAGTCAAATTTAATATTATTTATATTCCAGTTGCATTAAATTTACCCATATTTTACATACTTTTTTCTTTTTTTACTTATTCATTTTTATTTACCTCAATTGTATTCATGTATTTGATTGTCCAAATATATTTTAAATTAATTTCAATTCCAGTACAGGATTATTTTAATCAATTTTTGCTAAATCAAAAACATTCCATTAATTTAAGACTGTATGGGGCAGAAGTTAACGAATTAATTAATAACTGTTCATTAAATTAGTCAAATTAATAGCGAGAAATTAACTAACTGAATCAGTTGTAATTAAGCAGCTAATTTACTAATGCTAATTGCTTATGCTTCAGATAAGAGTTTGCCATTATATTGATTTCTTCGTGTCAACTGAATCCTCGTCCTTTTGTTTTTGTTTTTTTGCTTTTTTTTTTTGCTTTTTCTTATTGTCCCCCATCAAGTCACACTACTAATTTGCAGTTTTTTTTTTTTTTTTCATAATTTTACTCTTGAATGATTTGTTATTTTTGCTTCAGATAGTTAGCGCATTATCTTCTAGCATTTGCATTCCGGATGTTCCGTTAAACTTAAGCATTCATATCTTGGATTATCATTATTTCTACGCTTAGTTCACCTTGCTTTGAATGGCTGATGGAAATGATAATGGTGATTTTAATGGTTTCGCTTGTGATTGCATCGTATCTCAACTCTATGAAGCACTACCTGGTTCACCAAGTTATAAAAGTTTGTTTTTTTATTTAATCATTTATAATGTTAGATCATATTTGATGATATTTATAAAAAGCAATTATTAAATCACAAAGAAGATGAATTCAATGAAATACTTTCACAGTCAATATCTTTGTTTTGTTTATTCGATAAAAAGTTTATCATATATCTATTGTTATTGGTTTTATCTTTTTTAAACTAATAATTCTAAAATTTGTTTATTATTGGAGAATTTTACAGTTCTCATGTCATTTTTGATTTCTCCTTTCCTTTTCTCTTTCTCTGAAATCACTGAATTATTTTACTAGTTCTGCAAAATAATAATTTGTCTGTCATTTTATTCTGCTTTCATTCAATAGTTTTTTGTGTGTTCAAAATCTGTCCATAAAATGACATAACTAAACATATTTGATTTTAATTGGTTTTAATTTTTTTTTTTCAGTTGGTATTGTGCCCTATCTGTCAACATATGATACCCAAGACCAAGCACGACATCGTGGTTATTGGATTCCTGGTGTTCCGGTAGAAGCTCGAATAACCGATGTGAAACGGGATCAGAAATTCGGATTGCATCTCATAAATGCTTATCTGTAAGATTTTAATTTTAGTAGTATGGATGATGCATTGTGTCTTGATGAAAACGGAAAATACTCCTTCATTACTTTAATTGATTGTTTACTACATAAAATTTCGCATCATTGGTACTTTGCATAAGTTCTGCAAGATATGTGATAGTTTTGCTGATATATGATAGATGGTAATTTGTACTGGAAGAAATAGAACTAGTTAATGAACATTTGAAGAGATGAATAACTAATTGCTGAATTTATTAGTTCCAACAAGCTGATCGATGGTGCAATATAGGCCGATGATTAGTTTTTGTGTATATTTGGGACATTATTAGCACTTGATAATAAATTTCCTTAAGTTATATATTCATGCTAACAACGATTATATTAAATCTCCATCAGTAATTTGTTTTTATATTAACGCAATAATGATCAAAGTTTTTAGTGCGTCCACACGTATTTTGTAATACCTATAAATTGAACTGGATGATGATAAACATCGTGATGAGAAATAGCTTTTTGATCAGGTATGTGATTGAGTTGGAGCATGGACCATTTCGGTGGACAGTTGTTAAGCAAAATAAAGATTTTGCTGTACTTGCTGCTCGATTACTTACACATCGTGCTGCAGAACGAATACGAGCTCCGGTTAGGAGGTGAATTTTCTTTTTTTTTTACTTTAGTTAATTGCTGATAGAGGTTTTTTTTCTTTAGATAATGAACGACTGATGGTACTTGTTTTATTACTGATCATGGCAGTGTAATATGAATTCTAGAACGACATTTAAGTAGAATAGTTTGGTAGCATAGTAATATAATATAAATTCTAGAATGACATTTAAGTAGTGAGGTTCCAGAACGTCGGCCCGAAACATCTAGACCACGTGCATCTACATATATATATATATATATATATATTGACAGGAGAGAAGATATGACAGCTACAAGAAAATTTGCACACCTGCTTTGAAAGGAGAGGCTTTAGAACATATAAGCGATCTAGCTGTCAGTGAAGAAAATTATGCACTAGCTATGAAGAATTTGAAGGAACGATATA